AAGCTCTCCCGAACTTCGTCCCATCATGGGCCTCCCTCGTCCTCTTTCTACAACAAACTCTCTCTCTCGCTCTCTTGCCTTATCCCCCCTAGTTGAGTACCTCGCCCGTGGCAGGATCGAGCTCTTTTTCCACAGCCACCGGTGCCCCTGGCTGGGGCTTCGCCATGTCGGCAGCGGGGAGAGTGGCCGGTGGGAAAGGATCCGGCAAGGGAGGGGCCACGGGAGTGAGGACCCCGAAGACCTTCTTGACCGTGTCGGAGACGTAGGCGCTGATGGGGAGGGAGGGGGGGAGGGAACTTGTGGGTGGTGTCTCATGGGGGAGGGGAGGGCAGATGAAGTCGATCGCGGAGGGAGACAAGGGTTGAGAGGTGGACAAGAGGGAGGAAACTCACGATTTGTAGTCCTTAGCGTCCTTGAGAAGGAGGGCGTCGATGCTGTACTCCTCCTTGTCGACCAGGTCGCCTTCCATGTCGAAGAGGACTGTCATCAGCCCGTTGGCGCCGGGGGGAACTGGGGCGCGACCGGGAAGGGGAAGCGAAGGAGGATGAACAAATTACATCGAGTCTCAAGATTGCAACATGCACTCAGGTGTCAAGGAAATGCCCTCCCTTCCCTTCCCTGTTAACTCACCCGGCACGATTTTCCCTCCCGCCCAGCTGAAGTCACTTTTGGCAAGGACGTTGATCATCAACGTGGAGGGTCCCTCCGAGACCACGTCCAGGGTCAGTTTAACGGTTTGAAACGGTCGAACCGTTGTGGGATAATCCCCGACGATCGCCAGCTGGTACTTCTCGGCCAGGCCCGGTTTCGCGGATTTTTTCATCTTGAGCTCGAAAGGGTCGAAAATGCATTCCTAGAAGGAGAGGGCAACGACATGAATTAGGGTGGAAAGAGGGGAGGGAACCAAAGAGGCAGGGCCAGGGGGTCAGCCAACGCCCCATCTTTTGTCCGAAAAGCGACCCGGATGCCCTGTGGAAGAGCCCCGGTAGCCCCTGCACCCACCTTCTTTTTCTTGGAAGGAGCGGCGGCGGTGGTGAATTTCACGCTCGTCGCGCGGGGCCCCCGGTTTCCACGCGTCGAGTCGTAGAAAGACAGCTCTGCCAAGTATGTCTCTGCTTGGGCGGGGAGACGCACGTCCGTGGTCGCCTTGTTGGCCGTGACCATGG